ATGTTGGCCAATGGAATCGAATTAAAGACCCAGATCTTAATCCACAAACCTATGAACACCTGATTTTCAACAAAGGAGTTAAAACTATACAATGGAAGAAGAAAAGCATCTTTAACAAATGGTGCTGGCATAACTGGATGTCAGCCTGTAGAAGAATTAAAATAGATCGATATCTATCACCATGCACAAAACTCAAGTCCAAATGGATTAAAGACCTCAACATTAATCTGACCACATTGAACCTGATAGAAGAGAAAGTGGGAAGTAGTCTACAACACATGGGCACAGGAGAGCACTTCCTAGGTAGAAACCTAGTAGCACAGACAATGAGAACAACAATGAATAAGTGGGACCTCCTGAAACTGAGAAGCTTCTGTAAAACAAATGACACTGTCATTAAGACCAAAAGGCAACCTACTGATTGGGAGAAGATCGTCACCAACCCCTCATCAGACAAAGGTCTGATCTCTAAAATATACAACGAACTCAAGAAACTAGACACTAAAACTCTAATTAACCCAATTAAAAAATGGGGTACTGAACTGAACAAAGAATTCTCAACAGAAGAAGTTCGAATGGCCAAAAGACACTTAAGATCATGCTCAACCTCCTTAGCAATCAGGAAAATGCAAATCAAAACAACTTTGAGATACCATCTTACACCTGTCAGAATAGCTAAACTCAAAAACACCAATGATAGCCTATGCTGGAGAGGATGTAGAGTGAGGGGAACACTCATCCATTGTTGGTTTGAATGCAAACTTGTGCAGCCACTGTGGAAATCAGTGTGGCGGTTTCTCAGGAAACTGGAAGTCAACTTCCCTCAGGACCCAGCAATTCCACTCTTGGGAATATACCCAAGAGATGCCCTATCATATTACAAAAGCATTTGTTCAACTATGTTCATAGCAGCAATATTTGTAATAGCCAGTACCTGGAAATAACCTAGGTGCCCCTCAATAGAAGAATGGTTAAATAAGGTGTGGAACATAAACATTAGAGTTTTACTCTGCAGTAAAAAAACAATGACATCTTGAATTTTGCATGCAAATAGATGAAAATTGAAAACGCTTTACTGAGTGAGGTATCCCAGACCCAAAAAGAGGAATATGATATGTACTCACTCATAAGTGAATTCTAGCCATAATTTAAGGACTTTGAGCCTATAATTCGTGATTCTAGAGAAGCTAAATAAGAAGGTGAACCTGAAGAAAATCATATAGTTATCCTCCTGGATATTAGAAGTAGACAAGATTTTCAGGCAAAACTTGGGTGCACGGTGGTGGGGTGTGGATGTAATGGAAGATGGGTAGAGAGAGGGGAGAAGGGGAGGATTGGGGACAGCTTTGGGGAATGGGATGGGTGGGATGGAGGAAGGGTGGATATGGGAGCAGGGAAGTAAATATCTTAATTAAGGGAGCCATTTTAGGGTTTGCTAGGGACTTCTCTCTAGAGGGGGTCCAAGGTCCAAAGAGAGGTCCCCAGATTGGGCAGCAGAGGAGAGGGTGCCTGAACTGGCCTTGTCCCATAGCCACACTGATGAACAGTTTCCATATCACCATAGAACCTTTATCTGACGAAGGATGGAGATAGAGACAGAGACCCACATTGGAGCACTGGACTTAGCTTACAAGGTCCAAATAAGGAGCAGGAGGGAGAACTTGAAGGAAGTCAGGATCACGAGGGGTGCGTCCACCCACTGAGACAGTGGATCTTTTAGGAGCTCACCAAGGCCAGCTAAACTGGGAGTGTTGGAGCATGTGATCAAAATGGACACTCTGAACGTGGCTGGCAATGAAGGCTGACTGAGAAGGCAAGGACAATGGCACTGTATTTTTTTAGAGCATAGTAAAGGTATTCTTTATTTAAAGGGGAACTCAGAGATCACAATGGGGAACAGGAATGGAATCCAGTATCCAGGTGTGAAAGCTGGGGGTGGGAGGAACTGTGCAGCAAACGAGAACAATGACCTCAAAATGTAAACAATGTATAAGTATCTTGATCAGAGGTAGAATTATATAATGTAATATGATACATATATCCTAAAATTGTATCAGTATACAAAATGTCTTAAACATAGGTATAAACATGCATGCAAGCATATAATATGACAAAATAACTTTGTATAGGTGTACAAATATTGTAAACATAAATAGAAGCATAATCAGTATAACAAATATAATTTGAATTTGTTTCAGTATACAAGAATCTATCCCACTATAAATTGTCTATAAATAATAGCTCACAAGTATTCACTCTATTACTCACTCTTATTATTAGTATGAGGAAGTTCACACTAAACTACCTATTATCCCATTCATTTTTCCTTTTTTAAAATGAGATCCCTGAGCCTACAAAAATTTCACCCAACCCCCAACCCTATACCAGTTATAATCAAGCCCTAATTGAAGATCCTAATCCTGAGAACAAACTGCCAGATGAAAGGAAATGTGCCAGATGAAGGGGAACACAAATAAAGTAATCTCACACTAGGTGTATCTCTCTCTCTCTCTCTCTCTCTCTCTCTCTCTCTCTCTCTCCACTTTCATACCAGGATGCTGGATTTTGTTCCTGTTCCTTGCGATATGTGAGTTCCCCTTTAAATAGAGAACCCCATTATTAGACCCTATTTGGAACTAGTATGGCTCTGTATTTTTATTCTACTGTATGGACTGACTTTGTGGGAGCCTGGTTTGTTTGGATGCTCACTTTTATAGACCTGGATGGAGGGGGGAGGACCTTGGACTTCCCACGGGGCAGGGAACCCTAACTGCTCTTAGGACTAGAGAGGGAAGGAGAGGTGGGGAGGGGGAGAGGGGGAGGTGGGGAGGGGGAGGGAAAAAGGAGGCTGGGAGGAGGTGGAAATTTTTAATAAATAAAAATAAATAAAATCAAAAAAAACTCAAGTCCAAATGGATTAAAGATCTCAATATAAATCTGATCATACTGAACCTGGTAGAGGAAAAAGTGGGAAGTAGCCTTCAATGCATGGGAACAGCAGACCACTTCCTAAATATAACTCCAGTAGCAAAGACACTGAGAGCAACAATAAATAAATGGGAAGCTTCTCCTGAAACTAAGAAGCTTCTGTAAAGCAAAGGACACAGTCAATAAGACAAAAATGCAGCCTACTGAATGGGAAAAAAAACCTTCACCAACCCCATAGCAGACAAAGGACTGATCTCCAAAATATATAAAGAACTAATGAAATTAAACATTAAAATTCTAAATAAACCAATTAAAAAGTGGTGTACTGAACTAAGCGGAGAATTCTCAACAGAAGAAGTTCAAATGGTCAAAAGAAACTTGAGTAAATGTTCAACTTCCATAGCTATTAATGAAATGCAAATCAAAACAACTTTGAGATACCATCTTACACCTGTCAGAATGGATAAGATCCAATACACTAATGATAGCTTATGCTGAAGAGGATGTGGAGTAAGGGGAACACTCACCCATTGCTGGGAGGAATGCAAACTTGTGCAACCACTTTGGAAATCAGTGTGGTTGTTTCTCAGAAAACTGGGAATCAACCTACCTCAGGATCCAGCAATACCACTCTTGGGAATATACCCTAATGATGCTCAATCACACTACAAAGGCATTTGATCAACTATGTTCATAGCAGCATTATTTGTAATACCCAGAACCTGGAAACAAACCTAGATGCCCCTCAACTGAAGAATGAATAAAGAAACTGTGGCACATCTACATATTAGAGTACTAATCAATGGTAAAAAAAATTAATAATAATGACATCTTGAATTTTGCATGCAAATTGATGGAGTTAGAAAACACTATCCTGAGTGAGATAACCCAGACCCAAAAACATGAATATGGTATGTACTCACTTACTAGTGGATTCTAGCCATAAACAAAGGGCATCAAACCTATAGTTCATGATCCTAGAGAAACAAAGTAATAAGGTGAACCCAAAGAAAACATAGATAGACCCACCTGGAAATTGGAATCAGACAAAAATTTGAGAGCGGGGGGGGGGGGGGGGGGGGGGGGAAGGAGGGGAGAAAAAGGGGTTGAGGAAAACTTGAAGAAATGGGATAGCTGAGATGGAGGAAGGACAGATATGAGAGCAAGGAAAGAGATATCTTGATTGAGGAAGTCATTATGGAGTTAGCAAGAATCCTGGCTCTAGAAAAATGCCCAAGACCCCACAGGGATGATCCCAGCTAAGACCCTAAGCAATAGAGGAGAGAGTGTCTGAATTGACCTTACCCTGTAGTCAGACTGATGATTATCTTAAATATCACCATAGAACCTTCGTCCAACAACAGATGGGAACAGAGGTTATGACCGACATAGAAGCACTGTACTGAGCTCCCAAGATCCAGTTGAAGAGTGGAAGGAGTGAAAATATGAGCAAGGAATTCAAGACCATGAGGGTTTCAACCACAGAAACAGTTTTCTTGAGCTAAAGGGAGCTCACCAACTCCACCTGGACTGTGAATGAACGAGCATGGAAATAACCAAGCCCCTTTTAAGGGGGTTGACAGTTGGGGCAGACTGAGAAGCCACTGATAGTGACACTGGGATTTGTCTCTACTGTATGTATCGACTTCTAGTGATCCTATTCTCTTTGGATGTAAACTTTGCTCAACCTAAATGTACTAGGTAGGGCCTTGGACTTTACACAGGGCAGGTGCATGGCCCTCTCTTAGGATTGGAGGGGGTGGGATGGGAGGGTCTATGGAGGGAGAGGAAGGGAATTGAGAGAAAGGGAGGGAGGGGAAATTTGAATTGGTAATTTTTAAGTAATAATATAATAAATTAATTTTTTAAAAAACATAAAAAATAAAATAAAAAAATCTAAAAAATTAATAAAGTGGCATATCAATAAATGAAAGTAGAAACATAAAGTAGAAGGCTAGAAAATTGCTTCTAATTTAACAATCTGTGCACTAGGTTACAAGGCAGCACAAACAGACCCCCTTGACTATGTTACTGCTGTGTAATGGAAATGAGCACAGTTAAGTCAGACCCACCTGTCTACTTCCTGTTGCATGCTCTATCATGTCTTCATATAAATGCAGCTGTTGACCACGTGGAAAATGTGGGCTAAACTCTCCTATCTTCACCTTAAGTCCAAGACCATGAGGGAAATTCCAAATATAGAAAATGTCATACTCTTCCTGCAGATTTTCTTTCTGGTTCATATTCACTCTGTCCCCAACAGGATTAGTGAACTGGGTCTTCCTCAGTAAGGAATGAATCTGAAAGAGAAACACATTATATAGTGTCTATGCCCTTTCGTGAAGACAGAAAATATATTCTGATTTCATCTAAAGGCAATATTATTGAAGGTGTCCAGGGAATAAATAACAATAAATCAAGTGAATTAATAAAATGATCATAATGTTCCTAGAATTTAAGTTCTTTAAGAGGAAACTACCAAACAGAAGCACAGACATATATACAGACACCAAACATTTATAGGAAAAATGCACACACAGAGAGAAAGAGAGACAGAAAGAGATAGAGAGACTCACATCCATGCAAGCGTACATAATACAGTTATATACATTTTATACAGACACACATGCATGCTAAGACACATATATAAAAATAAAGCCGCACACAGACAGAACTACAGTCAAACAGACATACAGAAACAAAATCTGCAAAACACATATACACTCCCACACACACATGCACACTTTCATGGACAATTGCACACAGGGAGACATGAACAGATAGAAACATCCACACACAGAGACATTGACATATACAGATTAATGCTCACATCCAAAGACAGATCAACAGAGAAACAGACAAATACAAACACACACAGAAACAAATACAAATGCATGTACAAGCCATATACAACATCACACAGATAAACACATGCACTGAAAAACATACACAAGAAGATATTCACAGAAAAAACACCTATACAGAAAGACATTGGCACAAGACAAACTTATCCTCAGTTCCATAGACAGATAGATACACGGATAGACAGAAACACATATATCAAGAACAACACAGATATATACACAGATACCAAGAAACATAATCATATACCCATATACAGTGAGAACCATCTATTCACACACATGGATACACAGGTATGTCCTTAATGGAATAACAACACTGTTTGACTCTCATCATGGAGAGGATTAATGAAGAAGGACTGTTATGTTTACAGTGTTAGAATGTGTGTGATGTTATTCAGGTGCTCTGTAACAAAATCAGTGATATTCCTTGATAAATTTTGTCTTCCACTCCAATGTTTTTGCTTTAAGACTTATTCCAACTTTTATATTTGCATACTTACCAGGAAAATTTTCCAGATATACCTCTATTTTGTTAAATATTTCTTAATCCAGTAAACTGGGGCATTTCACAGACAATTAAAGACTATGACATAGATGAGAGCAAACTTCATCAAAAAGAAGAAACACTACCTTATAGCACTGAGGATACTGTCCTTTCCCATCTTCCTTTGATACACTATATACTTCTTGAAGTAACATCTCATGGAAGATATGAGCCAAAGTATATACAGCATTATATATGACATAACTGTCATCACTAAAGGCCATGTCAAAAGTCTGTACCTTTAGCCATTGCAACGAAGCATTGGATATGCAGTTCTTCAGGGTCTTACACTTAGAATCTGAGAGTTCACACTTCAAGTTCATCCACTCCAGTCTTGCCAGGTATTCATCTGAGTATTGGAGAGGGTTCAATGTCTGAACAAAAGTTTTAAAACTAGAAATCTCAGCATGGTGGTGTGCAAAAACTAGTGTCCCATGGAAAGAATTAAGTGTGAAGTCGCTCTTCCATGTAGTGACATCCCACTGTGAGGTGGTGACCCATATTCTCTGTATACCTAGAGATTGCCACCTTCTAAAGCTCACAGCTAGAGTACTGTCTGTGTCACCATAAATGACAACTACCTTTGTGGATGATGTCATGATTTGGTTATAATACACTTCAGCCCTTGACAAGTATGAATGCGTCTTGACTGGGATCATATTCACAAAAGCAAAGCAGACTGTATTTTTTTCCATCTCTCTCCTCAAATATGAGAGAAATTGAATACCCTGATCATTATCTGAAATGGCCAGTCCAATCCAGTTCCAGTTGAAGTGAAGCATCAAAGAGACCATAGCCAGGGCTAGATATATGTCCTGGGGGGCCATCTGATAAACAGAAGGAAACTGTTCACGATCACTCAGGATGGGACTGAAAGGTCCATAGGTAAGGTGAATAACCTAGGACACAGAAAGCAGCATTAGGTAGCATACAATCATAAGAATTTGTAAACACACTTTCAGCAAAGAGTTCCTTAAAACCCCTTTCCTGTTACTTCTTCCCTCATCTCAATTTCAAAGAAGAAAATGATACCACTTCAACTCTCTGGACCATAACTCTCTTGAACTACAAGTAAGAATTTCTTGCAAACCCACAATACAAATTCTCACCGTTTGAAATGGGTAGATGTTTACGTATGTCCCAGCTATCTCAGATACTGTCCAGGTTGGTCCAGAAAGCATCAATACACAAGAAGACCCTTCATCACAAAGATAATTAGGGCGAATATCAAGGCTTCCTTCAGGAAAATGCAAGAGGCTGTATAATTGTGGCACAGTTTTACAATCACCTTCTAGCAAATCAAATCCTAATGATGCATTTGGTAAAAGATCAGGGTTCCTGTTGACTTCATCCACAGAAAAAGCTATGGCCAGTGGAAATTGGTTGATTTCCGTTGCTGTTCTTTAAAAGGATATGGTGGTTAGAATGGACAAAGATCTACAGATGATCCTGTGTAGTCAATAGACAAACTATTCTGATCTGGACAGTATTTTCAACCACTGCCAATACTGATACAAATGGCCTATGCTGTGAGATTGGAATGAAATAAGAAGCTGGAAGCTTGCAAAAGCTTTAAAAGTTCATTAGAGTGCATCGCCCATAAATAAAGTGAGACATCAGCATCTTCCAAAGAGAGTGTTATCAATTTTTGGTTTTTGAGTGCTTACTCTAAAGATAAAGACAACAACAGAGGCTTTAACTGAACAGTAAACATATTCATGTATTCCTTTGGAAATCATTAAACAATGCAAAAAATCATGTAATGTGTAAGTCAATGAGTTTATGGTGTTTTCTTATGAAATTAACTGAATTGGCTAAAGCAGTGAAATATGCCTAATGATGCACAATAGTCTGGGTAATGTTTGGCTCTTATGCTTTCAATTCTTTATAATGAGTGAGCATTACAGTTAACATCTTATCAATCTTTGCATTGTCTTTTTTTCTTCTTGGTTTATCTAAAGCAGGTTTAAAATCTTCTTTTAAATGTTTTTTTAAATGAATTCAAATATCAGAGATACAATTTATAAAGCTGTGTGTTCACCAATGTGTGTGGACAGTATTAATGCTTATATAAGACATAAACAGAAAATGGATTTCAAGGTTTTGAACGATACTTTGCTATAGACAAGACTGGCCTCAAATGTACAGTGAAACTCCAGCTTCAGGTCTTTAATACAGAGATTAAGGTCATGTACTACCTCCTAAGTACTATTCACTACATAATGTTTGCACACAATGTCATATATTCACACTGGGTATATCTGACCATCACAATTTTTACTCTAGAAAACAGCTTTTGATTACCTTTCCGGTTACAGTAACACGACAATAGCATCCTACAAAAATTTGTATATGCTAGTCTAACATCTTTGTAAAATAGAAGACTATAAAATATAAACTTTGAGGAAAATGTTTATGAGGGTTTTTTGTAATAAAAATGGGTAACAAGTAAGTTGGGAGTGAATAATAGCAATTTGTGTTTATGTTTTTGGGAAGAGCAGCAACTTCTGTCTCTTCTCTTAGTCATTTCGTATCATCTGACAAATAAACATCAAACATACTTCTTCATTCTGAATGATTCACTCAGAGTAAAATACAATCTGTTTCCCACTTAGACATTGTACCATCGTGGTGTCTTTACGTAATTATGCATTTTTAAAATAAAATTAATTTTAGAATATTTTTATTACTATGCATAAAAGGTATCATTGAAAATTTCAGTAACACACAGCAGGAAATTGACACTAGATCTTGTGATGTTCAAGCACTAATTCCTTTCCCCCAAACATTAAGAAACATAAATCACGTAAGCAGTTAGAGTGGCCCACTGGACTAAATTGCTGTGTTTGACAACAGCTATCAACAACCCATAAAATCAAAATGTGGATAGTGCCCACATTGGTAAAACATGCAGTTATAATTAGCAAAATTATTGAAAGCAATATAAGTGGTAAATGGGAAATAAGTGTTAGTTAATAAGCAATTTAGATACAAGGAGAAAAGACATGTTTCTTAAATAATGGCAAAGATGAGCTAATAGATAACTCCTCTATTCCTCTTCTCATGTGTTGCCAATTATCACACACCAAGGCTGTCACTCAGGTAAGTAACAAGGGAAATGATGGTCTCACTTTTGAAAGAATGCAACCATATCATTTACAGTTTGTAATTCCTTGTTTACTAAAAATAGTGTGGAGAACTGGATTTTAAAATTAATGGGCAGTGATTGTACTTGTATGTAAGTAAAGTATGAAGAAATGGGAACACAAAAGATGTTCACAATGAACAAGTCTCCTACTTCCATTATCAGTGCAGTTTCAAAGGAATAATTGGATCACATTCAGAGTATTCAAGAGAGTAACTGTACACCTATGTGAAAACTCTCCACAGCTAGGTATATCACAAATATTAGTTGCCTTAGTATATGCATTAGGACCTACACTTTGGTGGCCATCCATCAGTTGATTGTTACTGCAGCCAGCGCAACCGGGATAGCAGAGACTGGTGGGGGGTGCCCGGATTGAGACACTGAGGCTTCTCTTCAGGTGGAAGAACAGCAACCTTTATTTTGCCCAACAACCTTTTTTACCTCTACTCTTTCTGTGATGACCCACTGGCCAGAAAGAACACAAACATCCTTGTCAATTACAGACCACAAGGAAGTTCCGCTGTCAGTCAGGGGGAGTGAGGGCAGTTGGATTACAACAGATTGTAACCTATGGCCATCTTGGGCCCACTTAGGATGATACTCTTTGAAATAGAATAGGGTTTCATTTGATAAGTTATCTCCTGCTACTGTGCTACAGAATTTGTGAAGTGGATAGCTGTATATGATGCAACAATGTAGAATTAATCAAAAGAGATGATAAAAAGATACTGCATTTTCATAATAGAAGGAACCCACAGAGATAAGATTTCACTTCGTAACATCTATGCTCTAAAGCAAGAGGGCTCACAATTGTAAAGGCAATATAACTAAAGTTTAAATCACACATTGACACTCAGACACTGATAGTGAGAAATTTCAATATCCCACTCTCTTCAAAGGACAGGTCATCTCTATAAAAGCAAAACAGGAAAATACCCTAGCTAACAGACGTTATAAACAAAAGAACCTACCAAATATCTACAGAACACTAGACACAGACAAAAAAAGAGTATTTCATCTTTTCAGGATCTCATGGACTTCTCACCAAAATTAATCACATACTTGGTCACAAATCAAATCACAAATTATGCAAGAAAAATGAAATAACATTCTGAACCCTATAAAACTATCAGAGATTAAACCTGAATATCAACTTTAAGAGAAAAACAGAAAGCTTTCACACTCACGGAAAACAAACAACTCTTGAATGATTGACGAGAAAATCAAGACAAGAATAATGAAATTAAAGACTCTCTAGAATTAAATAAATATAAATACAACATACACCCAAACTTATGGAACAAAGTGACAGAAATGGCAAAAGAAAAGTTCATTTATCTAGTAGTTTACAAAATGAATGTGAGATTTTATGTTAGCAATTTAAAACACATCTGAATGCTCTAGAACAAAAAGAAGTAAGGACATCAAAGAGGAATAGACACAGAAAATAATCAAACTGAATTCTGTATTTCATAAGTTAGATAAAAAAGAACAATAAAAAGAGTGAACAAAACTAAGAATTGATTCTTTGAGAAAATCCAGTAAGAGTGAACACCAAGTTATTCTACAAAATACAAACATAAGCAAAATTGCCAACTTCACTTTATGAGACCACAGTCACCACAATCCACAAATAATTCAACCATGAAATAAAATTCCAATGAATCCCCCTTTTGGATATAGATAGAAAATACTCAGTAAATTACTTGCAAACTGTATCCAAGAATACATTAAAAATATCATGACTAAGTAGACTTTATCTCAGAGTTTGGGGAATTATTCAACAGATAAAAATCAGTCAATATAATCCACCATATAAGCAAACTGAAAGGAAAATACCACATGATAATCTCATTAGGTGATAAATGCCTTGGACAAATTCCAATAGACTTTCATGACAATTGTCATAGGGAAAGTAGGAATACAGGGAACATATCTCAACATAATAAAGCTGTTTACAGCTTTTCTGGTGCCAACATTAAAATAATGGAAAGAAACTAAAAAAATTCCCATTAAAATCAGTACCAAGTCAAGGTTTTCTATGCTCTCTATATCTATTCAACATGTATTTGAAGTTTTAGTTAAGAGCAGTAAAATTGTCAAGGAGATCAAAAGGTTAAAATTGAAAATGAAGAATTTAAAGTTTAGGTATTTGCAGAAAATATGATAACATACATAAGTGATTCTGAAAATTCTAGCACAGAATCCCTACAACTGATTCACAGCTAAAGTGGTGAAATATAAAATTAAGTAACAAAGAAAAAGTAGCCTTCCTATATACAAATGATAATGAGACTAAGATAAAAGTCAGTTGAACAACACCCTTCATGATAACCAGAAGTGAGGCAAAATATTTTGGGGTTACTCTAGAAAGTAAGTAAAAGACTTTCATGCTGTATTATATTTGGATTACCTTAAAAATAACAAATTACATTCAATGTTCCCAAGATTTATGATGAAGTTTGTGTTGAGTTAGAGGGTGTAGCTAGCTACTAGCTAACCAAAATTAACCACAGAGGCTTTGCAGGAGGGAGGACAGATAGACACAGGAAGTAATATTGGGCCTTTAGAGAGAGGCTTGACTCTTTTGGCTAGAGGAACAAAAGAGACAGGAGGTCACTTGTTGCTTCTCCGCCACTATTCTGATCATTCAGTTCTTACCTTGATATCTGACTCCTGAGATTTTATTGATAAATAATAATTAGATAAAAAATAACATCATCCAGCATCAAACTCTGGGCACAAAAATCAAGAGTTAACCTGTTACCTTGAGGTTTACAACCTTTAAGCCACTGCCAGTACAAATGGCTCTCCTTCCTTGCCTTTAGTCCTCTAGATAAGTCTGACATTTTTCTTTTTCAACCTCTTTGTAACACCCCTAGCTGCTGCCCATACCCTGGGCCCAAACTCCATAGGTCCTAAAGTCCACAGCACCTGGGGCTCCAAATATAACTATAGTTGGTGGCTAACCACTGGCCATTTTGACCTACAGGTAGCCCCATTCCCTCACATCCTAAAATGGGTTCCTATTTTGCACATTTCCACGTCCACTTTTAAGTATCTGGCTCTCTCTTACCATGGGTTGCAGGCTTCCCCTGGACCCTATACTCCAGCTGCTGCCATTTCAGTTAAGCTGCCTCAACATAGATATGAACTGCACACACACACACATACACGCACACACATACACACACAATCACACAAAGAAATGCTACCCAAGGAGATACTCGCATCCCTAAAGAAATACCTACTT